GGGAAGCCGGACCCTCCCCAGCCGGCCCCCCTGCCGCCCCCGCCCCGGGGATGCCCACCGGCCTCGCTGGCGCGGGGGCGCGGGCGCACGCCGAGGTCCCCGGGTGCCAGCCCCCGTGGGAGGGCTGCAGCGGCCGGCGTCATGCGGTCAGTGGCCACTCACCGCCTCGGCGCCCGTGCTGCGAGCTCCGGGGGGCAGAGGCTCTCCAGGGGGTGCTCCGCGGGCTCCACGCACTGTGCACCCTAACACCTGTACGCCCTCGGGGCAGAAAGGTGCGCCCGCTGCCAGAACACCTGCGAAGCCCGGGGTGCGAAGCGGGCAAGGCTGCGTGGTCTTCGTGGACTCTGCGCCCAGCGCTTAAAAACTGGGCAAGGGATCCCAGAGCGTGCCCACCCCCTGCTCTCCCACCGAGGTTGGCCTCAGGCACCACTGGCCAACTTCGGACTGGACTGTTGAACGTTTCTTAAGCGCCCACGATTTTCGCTTTTATTTGTGTGGCTTTTGTAAAACATCTGGGGTTTAACACATTTTTTTAAATGGAGTTTAAAAAAAAAACCAGATCCGTAATTCTCTTTAAGGAGAGGTAGAAGGCTCAGTTCCTGCCCGGAGGGATCCGCAAACCCAGGAAACATAAATAATTCAAGCGAGAAAAAACTGGGACTGCAAAGAGATTCAGATCTCCAGGGGACAATTCCCCCTCCTCCCACCCCTCCTTCCTCTAAGTCTTTCTTAGAGATAAGTGAGCACTGGAAGCTCTAATTGAAAAGCCGCGGAGCCCACTGAGTAGAGACTGTGTCCGGCTGGCAGTTTGGGTGGAGGTGGGGGAGATGGGAGAGTAGTGACCGAGCCCTGGAGTCCGACATGCTCAGGTTCGAATCATCTCTAGTCTGACACTTAGTGGGTTGAGATTTAACGTCTCCGAGCTTCAGTTTCCTGGTCTGTGAAATGGGGATAATCCACTCCACTGGGTGGTTTCGAGGCCACATTGTATAAAGGTTACTTTGTACATTTTAAAGTGCTATTTAAATCTTAGCTGATATTAGATTGTACTGCAAATTGACATGCCAGGGCTTCTAGCAAAAAGAAAAAAAAATTAATCCTAAAATGTTTCCCCAATAACTTTCATTAAATAAAAATAAAATAATGTTTTAGTTTCTGTCTTTTCTTTCTATTTATGTTACAGAAGCTGCATTTGGGAAGAAATTAAGCCTGGATATGGGCCTTGTTCCTTGGGGCTGGGAAGGGTCGGAGGAAAGAAGGGTCTACAAGTCCCTAAAAACGTGAAACCTTTTTCGGCCCCAATGAGAGGGGCAGTCCTGACCCAAGATCCCTTGGCCCAGAGCCACGGAATCCCAGGGTGGTTCTAGGACTGGAGACCATGCCTACCAGGATCCACCAAAGAAACCAATCGATCAGCCAGTCAACAAGTATTTATATGGCAGAACAAAGTGGAATGCTTGGCCTAGAGGAGAACCCAAATGAGAAGCGCCCCCGCTGTCTTCGAGTACCTGGAAAGGCTGTCAGGGGGAAGAGGAATTGGGTTTGTGGTCAGCTTCCCACTCACCGACCCCCGGGGCAGAAGAGGGGGCAGGGCGGCGGAAAGGGGCCAATTTAGGTTTGTTGTACAGAAGAGCTTGGAGCCGAGCAGAAAGGGAAATGGGCAGCCCGAGAGGTCCCCTTCACTGAGGGGCTGGTAGCCCAGGCGGGGTAACCTCATGTTGGAGAGGTTTCTCCTTCAGGTTCAGGTTACCTGGCCAACTAAAATCCCGCCTTCCCCCCAAGCCCTCCCCATCCCCTCCTTGGATTGAAAGCTCCTTGAGGGCAGGGAAGGACTGTCTTTTGCTTTCTTTGTATCCCAAGCACTTAGCCCAGCGCCAGGCACAAAAGAAGACGATTAATAAATGCTCCTTGACTCACTTGACCTGCTCGCAGTCGGTCACCTGTGCTGGATCTTCTGTTTTCTAAAAGTAGAGGTCCCCCAAGGCTCTGTCCTGAGCACTCTTCTCCCGGTACTGTACTTGTTCAGGTGTGTCTGACTCTTCCTGACCCCATTTGGGGTTTTCTTGGCAGAGATACCGGAGTGGTTTGCCATTTTCTTCTCCAGCACATTAAAGCAGATTCAGGTCTTCTGACTCCAGACCTAGCAATTGTATCCACTGAGCCACCCAGCTGCCTCCGAGGCAAACAGGGCAGCTAGGTAGCACAGTAGATAGAGTGTCAGGCCTAGAGTCAGGAAGCCCCATCTTGGTGAGTTCGGACACATACTAGTTGTGTGACCCTGGGCAAGTCACTTAACCCTATTTGCTTCAGTTTCCTCATCTGTCAAATGAGAAGGAGATGGCAAACCAGTCCAGTATCTTTGCCAAGAAGACCCCAAATGGGGTCAGGAAGAGCTAGACACAATTGAACAACAAAAAACTTGCTGGTTAGTGTCAGGCTGAATTTGAACTCGTCTCCCCGACTCCAGGCCTGGCACTCTATCCACTGATCCACCAGCTGCCAATCTATTCCCTCCTATACTACTTCACTTGGTGATCTTACTGGCTCCCACGGACTCAATTATTCTCTCAGTGCTGATGATCCTCAGTTTACCCTCTTTCGAACTTTCTTGTTGCTACCGAGCACCCACCATCCGCCTGGTCGTCCAGACAACCCAGGGGTCCTCTCAGCACCTCACGCTCTATCCAATTGGTTGCCACGGCTTGTCCATTTTATCTCCGACATTTCTTGAATACACCCCCCTTTTCTCCTCTGACACTGCCACCCTGGTGGAGGCCCTCATCACCTCACCCTTAGATTTTGCAATAGCTGCAGGGTGGGGGGGAAGGGAGGACAGTTGTCTGCCTGCCACAGGTGTTTCGCCACTCCAGTCCATTTTCCACTCAGATGCCAAACCAGTCTTCCCAAAGCACAGAGGTCTTGTATGAGGTGCAGTAAAGAGGTTGGTGTCAGGGGTTCACAGACTACATGGGGGGAGGGAATGGGTGGGGTGTGAAGTGTATTAAGACTGGAAGGGTGGGGGGCCCTGAAGGTTTGAAGGGATTTGACAAACCCAAGATTTTATATTTGGTTCCTGAAAATGATAGGGAGCCTCTAGAGTTTATTGAGTGGGGAGGTGATGTAGTCAGACTTGTGCTTATGATTTTTGCATATAAATAATAGAAATAATACTTATTCAATTAACCACTTCTAATTTCTTCCTCTAAAAAAAATTATATACTTATATCACATATACATATGTATGTATAGACATATATAACAAGTTTCAAAATATAACACTTAAGTATAAGTTAATTACCCTTCACAACAAACTTAACTGGTTTTTTTAGGCAATTGGGGTTAAGTGACTTGCCTAGGGTCAAACAGCTAAGTAAGTGTCAAGTGTCTGAGGTCAGATTTGACCTCAGATCCTCGGGACTCCAGGGCCTGTGCTCTATCCACTGCACCACCTAGCTGCCCCAAATTTAACTGTTTTCAAACTGTCCTTACTAAATCTTCCCTCATGTGCAAAGCAAATTAAAGCTCTTTCGCAGCTCCAGTCTCCTGTTGACTTCCAGCTATTTATCAAAGTACAGGTGTTCATGGCTCCCTTAGCTTCTTGCTCAACCATATTGACTGATTTATTCCCTTCTATCAAAGACTGTACTTGACCTGGAGTTCTGAACTCTCACCTCCTACACATTATCTGTCTCCTAGCTAACCTAAAAGATTATTTGAGCCCGACCTGTGGTAGAGCCTTCCAAGCTCATACTGCTCTGATCAGCCAAAGTGGGATAGACTGTACCTTGACCCAGACATCATGAGGTCATTTTGGTCCTCTTCGAGAATGTAGGAAGATAAACTACCAACTTAAAAGATATCCCCGATGGGAGGCAGTCCTATCCTTAAACCTGCAGCTGACTTCCCCGAAGGATCTACCCCCAATCAAGAATATTATCCCCTTGTTAGCCTTCTTCAGCTTCTCACCAGGGACTTATTAAAGGGATCAAACCAAAAATATTTTAAATTTAAAAGTTTAACAGAATGCTTGTTGAATGTAACATATAGTATTAGTGACATATAAGATTTTGTTGATATTTATGTATTACATGTTATAAAGTTATTTAATATATACTTATATATTGTATTTATATATTATAAAATATATTCTGTATGTTTATGTGTCTAAACATATATGTATGCTTATTTTTCATTACAAAATTAAATTTAAAATGTTAAAAGAAACGTAAAGAGAACATTAGTATATGAAGGACTCTGTTACGTCTGACTCCTCAGAATTTTAGGGTTGCTCTGAAGGGTTTGGTTAAGTGCCTTCACTAATGCTATTGAGCCCCCAAATGGATGTTCCCCCGCACTATCAGTTACTAATGGCTAGTACCCCAGTTCCATTTAACGACTTAACACCGGTTAGATTTTACAAGGAGACATTTGCTTCGAAGATATAGTAAGAACAAAGTGCAAACATTTCCACCCAAAACCCCAAGGCACACTCTTCACTTAACCATTTCAGTCATTGTGGAAAGAGGGCTCAAAGTTAGCTCAGTTTGAAACTTAGTTCCCACATAGCATTATGGTTCCCATTTCAAGTTCACATTCCAATTCAGAACTGATTCTGGAGGAGTCCTTGTTTCCATTCAGCTGGGATGGCTCCAAAAGCAACTTCTTTGCTCCTCAGGGCATCTACACGGAGCTGGCTGCAAAACCCAGATCCGATACCTGGAAATTCACTTTCCTGACCTCATGGGACCGTGTATCAGCCTCAGTGGGGAGAACCAAGGGCTTTTCCCCTTATCCCATTGTCACTCACCAGACAACAGGAGCAAAAAAAGTCAAAGCCAGAGAAAGAAGCTGAATAGAATGACTTAAAGGCTGACCCAGGCCTCCCATTCCCCACAGGGTTAGCCAACCTGTGGCAGTTACAGGATATCCATACGTTCTGTGCAATCTCTCCAAGACGTTTCTGCTACATGTCATCACCTTCCTGAGAGTGAGTTCTTATCATGAGCAGCGACTGTGCACTACCAGATTCCCCTTCCCTTACATTTAGTAAACAAAGTTAATAGCGTTTCTTCCCACATCACAGCTGTATCTGGAGCTGCCCTCATTAGAGAGTAGCATAACTTTCCTCCTCTCCATCTCCCAG